TCAACTGAACAAAATAAGCACATTATATTTATTCAACTTTATTATTTCTATTGTTTCAAAATCTTTTCTTAGCAGTTGAACCAATATTGCGTATTTCAACTCCATTAATGGTCCCTAAAACCATATTATCTCATGAGAGGGTTAAGTGGGCAGAAAGTAGACCCAAACTGAGAATTATTTACATACACCACCACCACCCACTCCAGCTCTAAAACTCAATTCGCTCTCCCATCAAGACACGTTAAGAAGCTATAAGGCATGCACTGGGGAGGAGAGCAAAAGGGGCAGATAGTAGAGGCGGTGTTCGTTACTAGGGTACTCAGCATAAAAATCTCAGAATCACTGAAGAACAGCTATGATTGGCTATATTACTTTTCCTGTTGGACATTCTGCCAAACCATCAAATGGGTACTAGGCAATAGCAGCCAGTTTACAAACCTAGCAGATAAAGAAAGCTCAGAGGTACATTGGTGCCATGCTAACCAAGGTGTGGTCTGCCGACTAGCAGCACTGGCATGACTTAGGAACTCTGTAGAAACGCAGACTCTCAGGCCCTACTCCAGACTTCCAAAATTAGAACCTACAGTGATATGTATTAACATTAAGCTTTGAGAAGCACCACCCAGTAGAATGTTAATGTACTCACTAAGGCAATGTCCCAATTTATCTGGCTTTTCTGATTAAACACATCAGTTACATTTTGATCCTGTAAAAGTGAAAATTTCAACCTGTATTTTCCCCAAACCTAAAAATACTAATTCTTCCACTTTAAAAACCTATGATAGGAAATGTAAAATAGAGAAATCTATTAGAAACAAAAATTCAAAGGAAGGAGTATCAAAGAGCAGAAACACTCAAGAGGGCAACACTCATCAGAACAATTACCATTAGTACAAAAATAATTAGGAAGAAGCACATGAGAATAGGTAAAAGCACAAAATTTTACATCAATCGATTATACCTACAATGCATAAAAAGGCCGCATCTCTTTAATATTAATAAAATTAAATACTGACACTGTACTTTCAAGCATATGATTATTTTACCATACTGTATCTTGCCACTGGAGTCCCTGGGTAGTGCAAACAGGTACCGCGCTTGACTGCTAACCTAAAGCTGAAGGTCAGGTCCACCCAGAGGTGCCTCAGAAGAAAAACCTGGCTATCCACTTCTGAAAAATCAGCACAGTTCTACTCTGATGCACATGGGGTCACCAAGAGTCAGAAATGACTCAACAGCAACTGTTTTTTATCTTGCCATTAGATGTATTATTTTGGGGATCTGAACAGTATACAAAATTTTTTCTATAAGATTGATAAATTACTTCATTCTCTGTAGATCTTCCCGTGCTCTAGCTAACGCAGCTTCAGCAGACAGTGCCCTGGCTTCCATGTGTTTCAATTTTTCCATAACAGATGCATTTTCACTGAGTCCATTGGGGTATGAGAATGGGAGTGACACCGGTTCATAAAGGTCTTCTACATCTAAAGAAAAAAAAAGACATTATTATCAGGCCAACTTATATCAATGAAGGAAGTAAAATATCAGGAATCAGCATATACTAGGGTGCCGATTTTGTGCCCAATTAAGAAAAATTAGTGAAAGTACCTTTAATTAAATAAATATTTAACATCTGAAATGTTCTGACTTTAATTCAAAGAGCATGCTGTTAGTCTAAGATTTTCATTAGTCAGCCAAAATGACAACGTATGTAAATAACAATTATATT